GCTTCAGCTAATACTGCTGCTCTTCGCTCCTTGAGATCTTCCTTTATCGCCTCTCTGCATAGCTTCGCAAGCTCGGACGTGAGTCGGTGATTGCCTGCAGCTCGTGCGGCTCCACGCTGGCGTATCAGTTCGAGAGTTTCCGGAGACAGACGTCCCTTGGTGACTTTCAAACTCTCTGCCTTCTTGCCACAATCGTGAAGATGTTCAACGAGCCCGATAGTACTCCTCGTCGATGTTTTCGATGACGGAATCCTCCCATAAGCTGACGAGGGAAGCGAAGTGGTCCCAGTTGATGACTGTCCTGGGGCTTCGCTTCCTGAACTTTGCTGCTCTCTCAACACGCATCGAGAAGTGGAATCTTGCGCGGAGGAGACGATGGTCCGATCCCGTGTAGAACTTTGGAACAACAGCGACGTCGGTCAGGCAAAACCTTCGATTGAAGATGATGTGGTCTATCTCGTTATGGAACTGTCCATCAGGTGACTCCCAAGTCCAACGAAGGTGAGGGGGCTTTTGGAACTGTGAGTTACCATGGATGGTGTTGGTCGACATGATAAACTCCGACAGTCTCTCACCGTGCTTCCCTGCTCATTCCATTCCATTCCGTGAGTACCGATGTGAAGTTCTTCAGCCGTTCTTCTTGGGCCAATCTTAGCGTTGAAGTCGCCGACGATGACCTTAAAGAAGGTATGATCTTCCCTGTAGAACTTCTCCAATTCCATATAGAATGCTTCGTGTTCTTCTTCGTCGTAGCTGGATGTTGGTGCGTAGGCGACGAAGATTGTCAAAGCAGGAGTTGAACCACATCTTCTCAATCTCAAACGTCCGATTCGGGTTCGTAAGGAGGCTTAATCGCGTACGAATCGATGTTTATGGCCAAGTGCGTGTTGACGAGGACACCCACACCGCCAACGCCTCTGCTGTCGCATGTTCCAAGGAACAGTTCTTCTCCAGTATCGAAAACGGCGTGTAGCGGGCGGTGCCTTCTCGTCTCGGTCAGTCCGATGACGTCGTACTTGATCTTCCTGGCCTGCATCATCAGATCTTCGATGTGAGCTTCGGATGCAAGCGTTCGTGCGTTGAAAGTACAGATCGCCATCTTAGTCCTTCTTCGTTTAGGCAGCCTATCCGGGCCCTGAGATTCTAGCAGCCTCTCCCGAGCGGTCCTACCCAACGCTGCCGTATTGGGGGCTCCCTCAGGTTCAGGGGAATGAGGCCCATCCATATTGCTGTTTTCGGCATATTGAAGGCACACGAGTAGCTTGCCAGGCTCTGTCGTGCGGGCTAGGATAGACCTCCAGGTAGTTAGCCACGCTATCCTGGAGCGGAACAAGGGGCTTATTTCTTGGAGGCGGCCCCGAATCGCCTCCCATGTACTTCCCAGTCACTTGAATGCAAGCTTTTGGCTGTGCCGACATGCAGGATACCAACCGCACACACACAGAGCGCACCACACACGCAAGCATGCATGGATGCGCCTGAGTGGAGACAGCTGGTATGAATCAACACAGCGCTACAGAAACAGGGAGTCCATCCCCTGAATCCACCTGCGTCTCAGGGCAAGTACATGGCTGGCTTTTGGTCCGCGATTCACCCCCTATCCGCCACCGAGGGTGGCGAGTGGCAAATTGGAATCAAGTGAGTTATCCCGGTCGTCGGTCAACCTATTATGCACTTATTAAACATTTCTATTTTCCTTTTCTTTTTCCCTTTCTATTCCACCTTCGACTCGCAGTCTATGGCACTTTACTATCGTCCCAGGTCGATTCTAGATCGAAGCCACCTTGTCACAATAAACAAGAATTAAATGCCAGTTGCAGTTTTCTGGTTGGATGCAACTGTGCTCTAAAATATTCACCAGTATGGTATAAAATGTTGACCTCACCAGGGAAGGCATTGAACTCCCCGTGGAACTTTGAATCGAGACCTAGACATATCGATAGAGCCTGGGACACGGTTAGAACTGCGGAACCCAAAATTGCAGAACGATTCTGCCAAGGAAGTTACGAGCAGTCGAAGTTGGCTGCAAATGAGTGCTTTTGGATGAGGCTCGCTAGTCACAGCTGTGTTGCCGTGGTGTAGTGGTAAGGCTCTCGCTCATCATCATGCAGGTCATGGGTTCGGTTCCCGCTGCGACGTTTTTGCAAATCATGTTCCGTACCCAGTAGAGACTTCTATTCTAGTTTCTGACATTTATTTGAATAAGCACCTAATCACAGCTATGCTAATACCATTGACGTTTGTTGTGTGAGTTGAGATGAAGTAACTTCGTGCGTACTTTCTTCTACACCCAGCGTTCAGTTAAAAGAACAGAGCTAATTTGATACCTCTACCACTCCATGGCTTGTCTGCCTTGCCTTGCCCAGAGCTGTCTTCATCCTCGTTATTCGCAATAATCCCAGTCCGATTCGTTTGGGGCGTCCGATTCCAATCTTTCCCCTTTACAATATCGATCCAGCGATGTATAAAAGCGAACCTCGCAGCAATCTTCCTCTCTTCGCGTGTTGCAGGACTATTATCTTCTTGCTCCGAATTTTGCGAAAAGTATCCAAACTACCTTCGCGGGAGAATACACCATTATCAATGAAGATTCATCAGGAACATAGCGACTAACTGTCACTCGGTTTCCACGTTCTGACAAGGTGCTCACTCGGATATGTTAAAAACCAGAATAGAAGTCTCTACTGGACTACGGAACATGATTTGCAAAAACGTGCCTCACAAGACCTGCATGATGATGAGCAAGAGCCTTACCACTACACCACGGCAACACAATTCGCTACACTAGCGAGCCTCATCCAAAAGCGCTCATTTGCAGCCAACTTCGACTGCTCGTAACTTCCTTGGCAGAATCGTTTTGCAATTTTGGGTTCCGCAGTTCTAACCGGTGTCCCAGGCTCTATCGATATGTCTAGGTCTCGGCTCAAAGTTCCACGGGGAGTTCAATGCCTTCCCTCGTCAGTGTTCTCTGAGTGGGATACTGATTCTTCTGTTCTTAGTAAGTGAAGCGATGGGTTCCATTCAATTTCTGTTCGCCTCTCCGTCTGTGTTTATCTCTTCCCATTTCCTCTCTCTATTTTCTCAATATCTCTAACCCTTTGACGACCGCGCGCTCTAAACGTACACGCATATGAGCCATACGGTCCTACGAGACAGTATTTATGTTTAATTATAGCAATATCGAATGAACTGCAAACTTTCTTCAGTAAGCATCGTACTAATCAACCATACATTCTAACGCAGATGGACTATCAGCAAAGTAATGAAAAAGACTAATGAAAAAGACCTCAGAATTCATAAGTGTTTTGATAGTACTGTTGAAGTAGCAGCTACTAAAAACAATCTGTTTTCTTGCACAAAACTTGCATTCAAAAAATCGACTAGATTTCAATACAAATGCTTCTTCCAAGCTTCTTTCTTTAGCTAGTGTGGTGTCGATAATAAGTAACGTTATTCACTAGACGGTTACTAACATACGCTGAATTCCAATTTGTTGACTTCGATGGGAGCCTCAAATTTAGTTAGGCTTTTTAACAAGGGAACCTCCTGCTACACCTACCACCACTTCCACTTTAAACACATGTTTATGTGTATTCACACCTACTTGACAATATTTTTCACAAGAACCAAACAATTGTGGTGGCAGCCCGCAACGAATGGGTCCTATCGACTGAATCATGCAAGGAATATTACTAGTGTGGCAACAATTGGCAGAAGGATTACTGCTCCGTTTTTCAAAAACCACCACATGCACTGTGTTCTTATTCTGTGGGTAATGATGATATTTTTGCTAATATTACCATTAGAAGTGTTTTTAGTTTTGGGTTTCTCCTTAGAAAAAACCAATCCCTGAACTGTGTACATAGACTTGGTAGGGTGTCGTGAACATAGTAATTGAGAATTCCGAAAATGTCAAAAGGAGAAAATGCAAGAACTAGTTGCCATGGTGCGCTGAGGGCCCGACGCGACTGATTTGGTGTGGCCCGTCGGCGGGCCATACGGTCGTCCAAGGGTTAAGCAAATTTCCGTACTGGTATGTCGCTATTAATTTGTCACTGCGTTTTCGCTCCCTCGATATCTAGTTCTTCTCCTTCCACACTTTCGCCGCTCCTACCTTTGCCTGGGTGAAAGTTGGGTAGCGGCAAGTGGCCCGCTTACCACGCAAGCGGTCCTAGGTCGTGAGTCGCCCCGGCCAACAAAGCCTTCCAGCGGTTTTAAGGTTTCCGGGGTTTTAAGTTTCCGGGGTCGGTTAATTGGTACCAGACTTGTCTGGGAGGATAAAAAACACTGACTTGTACATCGGCTGGCCCCCGCAAGTCATTGTATAGGCCACATCGCATTCAAACGCCACTACGAATGTACAAATGGAAGTAGAATGCGTGCCGCATCCCAAAAAGGGATTGATCAACGGCAAATGCTTTATCCTTTATCCTTTATACCTTTGCCTACCTTTTGTCACGATCTACTGCCTAACAACACTAATAGGTGAAAATTCATCAACAAGTCTACCGGCGCTCGTAGGCGCCGTGGCTCAATCTCTTGTAACAGACTCATCCCATCGCAGTCATCCATGTTGTGTACATCTCCACATCTCCACATGTTCCCTGCTCTCTTCTCATCAATAAGCAATAAACTATCATAGCCATCTCGAAAGCACTGATACATGTTCATTCCCGTGTACGAAAAGTAGAACTACCTTTAGCACGAAGTTTTTTTACAGTAGAGAAAAGCGGCCTTCCTGTGTGTGTTTACGTGATGCCACGGGCACCATGAGGTTCTCATTGGGTAATTGTAAAGTACTTGCTACCGAATAATGGCATGCTGAATGAATGCAAATGCAACGCAGCACAAAAAGCCCACGTGACAATAATTCTGTGCAGAAAAAAATGATTCAAGCATATAGCAACACAATTTTTATTTGCACAAAGTTCATTTAAAAGGTGCTGTGAGATTAAAAATGAATTGTGAATGTGTCGGTGTGGTGGTGGCTTAGCGCGATGTTAACACAGGTGAGTCTTTGAAGAGTGTGGTAGCATCGTCGACGGAACACAACTCTCACTGAAGCAAAAAAATTCAACTGATAACAAGCAAAAAAGCATTTTAATCAAAGAGCAAGGTCAATACAAGCACATATGAAGGCTGAATAGCTCCACTGAATCTAAATAAATAGTGCTTCTCTCTGCTTTTTTTCGCTTTATGTATTTTTTTTCGCTATTTTCGATACAAAGGTGCAAACTCACACCTGGCTATAATTAAATATTATTTATTTGACGCTACTGTATTAGGTTGGTCCATAGTAACAATTTACATCTTATGTTGGAAACTTTTTTGAGAACTCCGAGAAGTCCGTACCTGTTTGATGACGTAGCATTCACCTTTGCGATTTCAGCCGAACCGACTAGCTCGTTGTCCATCTTTTGTTATGGTTATTACACGGTTTTGCAAAAAGCTCTTCTGCTAATAATTCTCACGAGTACCGCTTGGGAACCCCCGCAAGAACGGCTACACCAAGGATTAGAGGAACCTTTCCCGGAGATCGCGATTCTATCTCACCCATATGTCACTGGCTTGAGACCCAACGAACGAAAAGAACAAAAAACTGAATTCATTTTGGCAAACGATGAAAACTGAACGGACTGCTACGCGCCAAATTCCCACCGAACATCTGTCACTGGGAGTGGGAATACCTTCACCGGCTTCACGGGCTGTCACTAGGAACTCTTTTTGACCTTTTGCCTTATTCCAGTAACATTTCACACTTCGGCACTGCTTGGCACAAAACAGCTAGATTTTTAACGAGATTTTTCCATGATTGGACATTTGGCTAGAATGTTCCCCCGGGGTAGTTCGACCCAAAAAACACAAATTCCACACTCCTTTGACGTGAAAACGCCTGGAGCCTGCGCTGCAAGTGTCGGGGCCAGAAGCCCTTTTGATCATCAAATTGCCAAAAACTTGTCGCTAGGGTAGTCGTAGAACATGAATGTCACATTAATTCATTGCGAGTGAGCCTGTAGCCTGCTCTGTAGGCGCCAGCGCCTTTGGCGAAACTGATGTGGTAGCGCCAGCGCCTGTGGACGCGAGCGCCAGCGTTTTCGCGCTAAGTGATGTGATATTCGTGTTCTACGGGTCGAAATACCCCTAAGACAAGTTTCTAGCCAAATCCACAGTCATGGACGAATTTCGATCAAAATCCGGCTCAGTTCTTGAGGAGTGGGGCAGTAAAGGGTAAATAGTGCCAACACTTCTACTATATCTTATTTACTGATGCCTATGCGCCGCCGATAGCCCGGCCGCCCCAAGGCGCGCTTCTTTCCATGTCCCGCCTTTGGCTCCGCGCTTACCTTCGACTGTCCATAGAGTGTGGTTTTGTGAGTTTGTTTCTCTTCGGAAACCGAATCTTCATGCGTGAAACTTTGTGTGTTGTTCTAGTGATCACAACTGACATATTCATGTTGCGAAAGAGAGCAGGGATGTTCTGGGGAGGATTCCTTCAGCAGAGGATGGGCGAGGGCATGCTACCTCAATCCACGGCGCACTGGCGCAATCTGCCAAGCACTGGCCTTTTTATATGGCTGATCCACACACCAGCTATCCCGTAAGTAGCAGTCACGGTGTCGAACCTGACGATGTTGAAGAGGGATCTGGATAGACTATCGATCATTTGTCAGAGCAATTCTTCTGCGGAAAGATGGCAGTACTATCACATCTCCGAAGACTTGTAAAAATTCGGAAATATAGTTTGGGTTCCACAAGCCTTGATCCCGAATTAGCTGCAAACAAACACTACTTGACATCATCATGTTCGGGTTGAATTGTTGTGGTACTTCAAATGATAGTCCATCATTGCCGGTGGAAGGGGAGGGTGCAATGCGCTAACAAATAAATAAGGGGCGTTAGTCTTGTTCAAAGGACTTGGGATTTCTGACTGCTGAAGCTCAACCTCTTCCAAGTCAAGCTCTGGATTTTTCATAGAACACGAGAGAAGTTGAGCAATGGTAACCCCTACGCAGGATAATTTTGGGAGTCTTGGATGTAGAGTTCTTCCGTATTTACCCTATAGTAGTGATCTCGTGTCAAGAGATGCCCACCCGTTTCTCGCTCCTGAGAAAAAAATCTCCTAAATACCATGGAGTTCTAAGAGCGGCATCTGCAGCCACAGTGCATTGGAAACATGTAAGTTGCGGATAATTATGGTTTGTCTTATACCGGATCAATGGATCAAAGAAATAATTAGAATAATAAAATGAGATTTAGCCAGTATGTTGCAGGACTATGGACCAACCTAAACTGTAATACAATATTCGAAAAAAGAACTTTTTCAATGAGCGTCTTGATATTATTCTGGGCAAAGCTTTCCGCACCATCTTTCAAAAATGAGAAATTGTATATTCCTGAGGATGTGAATTTCTTCAGAAAACCCAGAGACACATTCCACGATTGCAGACTCAGTAGGGCATTTGGAAGTCGCTGATTGGTGCTAAGCGGCCCATCAACAAAAAGAGCGCAAAAATCACGTACAATTTTGATTGCTAAGTGCAGCAACCAGGAAAAAAGCGTGGAGGAGGGAGAGAATGGAAGCGAGCACGTCGCGAGCACCATCCACGACATTGAGTGAATTTCCGAGTGAGATTAATGGGAACAAGAGTGTACCCTAGTGGCTCTGCCTTACAAATTCGTACCGCGACATTGATACAACCTCTACATCTGCTGATTTTTTTATGGCTGATGGATGAATTCATTCTAGAACACGGTTGTGGAATATATCCTCGTCAGCTTTATTCACTTGGGACTTAAGGACTTTGTCGTTTGGGGCACCTGTAGGGCCAGGGAAAGAAAAAGGAAGAGGGATCAGTGCTACTTCGTTTAATATTACTAGTTCTATACCGAAATCCGCTAACTAGCTGGAACCCGCTCCCTCATTAACGGTCAGAACTGAGGATATGCTAAAGGTAGAATGACCAACTGATAGCGCCACAGTTGCACGAAAGAGGACTGAATTACGTTTCAGTCAAATCCATGAGTCAATTAACTGTAGCCAATTTAAAAAATATCCAAAGATCTGTCATTCTATCTGTCTTAACAAGTTCTGGGTTTATATGTACAAGTTACTACTTTATTTATTTATTTATTTAGTACTGCGCTCATTGTGCGCCTAAGGCAATTTGTTGATGGCTTTTTAAAGTGTTTTTAAGAAGTGAAATTGATAGATGAATAAGTATCTGCTTATTCAGAACAACGATGCAATCTGGCGGTGAATTATTTTATCTTATTTTTATTTCTTCAATTTTAGTGTACGGTGTGTGTCTAATACTATAAGGAAACTTACACTTTTGGAGCCGGTCGTTGTAAGAAAGCACTGAGCAAATCAATTGGGAACGGAAAGATTATGGTTGAGTTCTTCTCTGCTCTGAAATAAGGAACTTTGATTTATGAGGCATTGAGCCCATTTTATGGACAACTTTTCGCTTTTAATTTATTTGCTATATGGGAGATCCCGCGATAGGGGCGGAGGTCGAACAAGGGAAATTCACCTAGTCGAAAGACATGCGGGCCCTCAAGGGTGCAGGCGATGCTCACTTCGCCGAATGGTATACCCCCAGCGGCCTAGAACGGCCATACAACGTCGCTCGCGCCGTCGACGCCTAGCGATGGGTGCTCCCTCGCCGTTTGAGACTGGCCGTTTGGCAGAGAAAGAGGGTTAGCATTGAAGAGGCAACATCGATGAGACGCATCAGTGCATTCTCAGGTTCTGGTGCAATTCTCGTGGTTTTTTCTTCATCCCTGCACCACTAACCAAGCTTAACCTAGAATGGGCTACCTTATCACTATTACCTCCACCTTCGAGTTCAGAAGGACTAGCGGATACTTTTGCTTCAAGTGAGTGAGGTCAGTAGAATTCTTAGTCCACGCAGCTAATGGTCAGTCGAGTTGTACATTTTGTGTTGTGTTGGTGAAGAAAGCGGTCAAGTAATGAAGAGGTGAGAAGGGTAGCAGAGAGGATGAAAATGGAAAGTAGGATCTCACTGAAAAGAGAAAAGGGCCTTATACTGATGGCAGCACGTCGTGCATGTGTCCAAACATTTTCCAAAATGTTTTTCTATCACCTTTATCACGACTTCGATAATTAAATTAATGGTGAAGCTGAGGATTTTTTGGATGCTATATACTATATGGGCACATTCAAAATATAAAAATAGCAAATAAAAATTCAAAAATTTCGTTCAAATTCCTGTTTCAAAATAATGAATTCAGAGAAAAATTGAAAAACGAGGAAAAACATACGAGATGCTATTAAGCGTTTGCAAATAGCGTAGTTGAAGAGCAGATGGCGACTCAGCTATAACTTCTGCTGCTTCTTTCAAGGCACGAGATGCTTTCTGTTCACCTTCGGCGACGATTACCTGAATAATCATTGATCTGCATCATTCGATAATTATTGAATTACTGAATGAAGTATGTAAGTGATTGCTACAACCAGTAGGACTCATCTCTCCATAAAATGAAGGACTATTAATTTCAAAATTCAAAGAAAAGAAGCGCTAATGAGAAATCCGAGAACAATCGTGTTACCGGGGAAGCGCTGTAAATGAATGGAATGCTTTAAGGATAAAGATGAAAATAATGAATTCGGTGTTGAACACTCAGGTTTTGAGATGCGCCACGCATTCTACTTACGCTCAGATTCGTAGTGGCCACATGAATGCGATGTGGACCTATACAATGACTTGCGGGGGCCAGCCGATGTACAAATCAGTGTTTTAGTTATCCCAGGGAAGTCTGGTACCAATTAACATGTCGACAACGACAGCACCGAACAAATGCGTCCCACAGTTTGCAGGCCATGACGGAAAGCGTGGTACGTATGTGTCCTGCACCCATTATATTTATTTTTCCACGCCCGCGTGATTCATTTTTGAGCGTCTTGTATTTATATCGAAGAAACCATAGCTTAGCTACATAGTGGCCAATGGAATGACACGCATGTCTTCATTTAGAGGAGCACATCCGACATTTAGTGTGTTGTCAGTTGTTCTTTTCCTCTTCTTTTCATAAATGTAATGGTTAAAGTAGAAATAGAAATAGAAATAGGAATAGAAGAAAGTACGGAAAAATTAAAATTGTTTTAAGGTTCACTGCAGTTACGTATGATAAATTTTGCTTTTCATGTTATTTTACGTTTTCGATAGAAATTCCACTACTCTACCCCCAAGTAGTTTCCACTGACTGAACACTGATCTGTTTCGTATCAGTCATGTTTTATGTATTTAACACTCAAAACCCACTTGAACGACCTGATATGACTGCGCTTATGAAATGGCACCGGTGCCGTGTGGAGAGAAAAGCCAAAATGTTTGCTGTCGCTAACGTTTTAAGCAACCCCGGTGGGTGGGGGGGGAGGTGAAACGCTAAGTCGGCTCTGGACGGCGCACGATCAAGGATTTGATCCCCGAACCGAGCGCGTGGAATGCAACGCCACTTATCACTAGACCACATTGCCAAGCCCTGAACTTAGGTAGCGTTAATGTTTCCAGGAAGCAAAGTTGGTGCAGTGACCACAGAGTAGGGCTTTCCATTTTCTTTGCTATTTGCTCAGCCGAAGGAGGATCCACGATGGCAAAGGTGGAAGAAAGGGAAATTTACCAATGTAGAGGTAGGCGGACCCAGTAAGGGTGCTGACCAACACGCGATTCTTACCGAGAAATATGCCCCCAGCGTTCTAGTATAGCCTTCCCCGCGGCCAAATTCGCGGTCACTGGCTCGGTACGGCCTCCCTCTCGTCGTCTCCTGTCTGAATCTAGCAGAAAGAGAGCGTAGCGTTGAAGAGGGCAGCACCGATGAGAGTCGCATCAATGCGGAAATCAACGGGCAAGGAAGGGGTCCCATTTCTCGGGTTCTAGGCCGTTTCTCATGGTTTTTTTCTTTTTTGTGCACCGATTACCATTTTTGACTTGATTTCCAATGAGCTATCATTTCATCGGCTTTCGAAGGAGGACTCCATGATAAGGTCGGAGCTTGGACTAATGGGAAATATACCTAGTCGAAAGACAGGCGAGCCCCGCAAGGGTGCTGGACGATGCGCGCTTCGCAGGGAAGTGTATCCCACTCATTCCACTTCCACCGACTGGCAGACCCTTCGCCTTCTGACGAGAGAGCGTTAGCGTTGAAGAGGGCAGCACCAATGAGAGCCGCATCAATGCGGAAATTAAGAGGCAAAAGGTCCCATTTCTCGGGTTCTGAGCCGTTTCTCATGGTTTTTCTTCATCCACGGACCACTGACCCCCTCTATCTTGAATTCAGATGGGCTGCCTTTTCATCCCAAACGTAACCTCTAAAGACCTGCTTCACAATTCATCTTCTATAGTTAGGTAGGAAAGATAGAGATGTTCACAGGTGTTGCAGATCTGCCGTTTTCACGGTTGAAGGTCCGCGACAAGAGTATCTGTGGCCTTGTGCCAATAAGTCAGTGGCCCTGCACTGAAGGTGTGTCTGCCCATACTCTTATGAAGTCACAACTTCACGAAAAGAAGCTCCTCAAAGGCAAAACTTGGGATTTCCGGTCGAAATTTAATTTTTTCCCGTCAAATATGCAGCAGTACGCAAGGGCAGACCATGTGCAGAAGTGGCGGGGCGATTTGACAAGGTTTAGGCGCTAGGAGCCTAGGTTGGAGCATTGGCGCCGCCCCAACCCATTGAGCCCGCCCAACGTTTGACGTGACCTTCCAAACAACAACTTTTAACAACAGATGTTAAGCTGTTGTTTGGAAAAAGCTGAGCGGATTTCAACTGCCAATGTCAACATCAGAGCCTATGTTACAACCGTAACCGGGAACGTTGTCATTCACTTTAGTGAGAAGTCTTTTTTAGATAGGAAGCAAACAAAAAAAAGCACAGTAAATAGAAAAAATAGGGAAATTAGAAGCAATCAGTTTTCATTGCTGACTTTTTTGGCCGTGTCGGTTGCTGGCATAAAGCCAACAGTTGCTCTAAACACGTTCAGACACGTAACTCTCCCAACCCTGACTTACAATTTTGGAGTTCTTTGGTGGTACTTCTTGCTTTTTCTTCAACTTTGATTTACCTAGCACCCAGGATTTAAAATTTGAACAGGGAATCCCCTCGTTTCGTCCTGGAGCTTGCCTTTAATGTTAAGATCTTCGATGTGCTCTGTTGCTTTTGTTTCACCACCGGTCCTTCCTCACTTCCACTTCTATTTTCGAACAAATTCTAAGCGCTTCGAATGACTTCCAAGGAGGAAGTAAGCGGCACGCAGCAACTGTACTTGCATGCGCGGTGGTTCACGCTGAGATTTGGTAAGAAACACTTCTCGCCCGTGATTCGTTAACACATTCACGTCGATGGCCGCCCATATGGGCTGCCAACTGATAATCGCTTGCCAGGCGCTAGGAATGGACAGATAGGTGGGCAAACCTCGTAATCGAGTGTAAAATGCTTTTAAATTCCTTCACGGGGAAAGTGAATAAATGCTCTCTTTTCGTAACCACTATCCCTTATATATATAAAGCAGTAATTGTTGTCTGTCTGTCTGTCTGTCTGTCTGTTTGTAACCACTAGGCCGCTCACTACGTAGACCCAAGAAAAACAGTTGGGGAAATGGTTCCGGGGGGGGGGGAAGTTGCTATTAGGGCATGATCGTTTGGAGGCGGGACTTGGCTAAGAGTGGGTACGGTAGTGGGCGGAGCCTGACCCAAGGGGCGGGGCTTGCGCCGAAGTCTGTCGAAAGAAGGGTTTTAATATCGGTTTTTGCGCAGAGGGCTCGAATGAGGCTGGGAATCACAGTGTTGATTGGGGCCTGTGGTAAAAGTCGAAATTCTATCGGGTCACATGCTATCGATCGATATCGATTGAAAATATCGGTTTTTGCGCAGAGGGCTCGAATGAGGTTGGGAATCACAGTATTGATTGGGGCTGTGGTAAAAGTGGAAATTTCATCGGGTCACATGCTATCGATCGATATCGATTGAAAATATCGGTTTTTGCAGAGGGCTCAACGAGATTGGAATCAGAGTATATGATTGAAGGCCGTGTTAGTTGTGCAGCATGGGTCTCGCAAGGAGGCCGTGGGAAATTCACAGTAATTGATACTAGGTTGTTGAAAGTGAGTGAAATTCCACTTCGGTCTACATGCCATCGATTCGATTATACCCGAATCACCGAACCAATATCAGCATTTTTTATGCAGGTAGGAGGCTGCCGAGGAGGCTGGGAATTACAGTATTGATGAGGTTGCTGAAGTGAAACAGTTGAAACTACCATCGGTCAACACAATGCCCGATCACGATGAAGATATCGATCGAAAATATCGGTTTTTGCGCAGAGGGCTCGAAGGAGGCTGGGAATTACAGTATTGATTGGTTGCTGAAGTAGAAGTTGAAATTCCATCGGGTCACATGCCATCGATCGATATCGATCGAAAATATCGGTTTTTGCGCAGAGGGCTCGAAGGAGGCTGGGAATTACAGTATTGATTGGTTGCTGAAGTAAAAGTTGAAATTCCATCGGGTCACATGCCATCGATCGATATCGATCGAAAATATCGGTTTTTGCGCAGAGGGCTCGAAGGAGGCTGGGAATTACAGTATTGAGT